CGAAAACCCGCAAGAAAGTGGCAGTAATTAGCGTGCAAAAGTAATTAAAATATTCTAAAATCATTTGAACATTTTCTAAAAGCCATTTAGACAAGTTATAATCAAGATATCAAATTTTGGTTAGCAGTCCTTAAACCCAACCACATTGAGGAGTACCTATACTGAAATTTTGAACAAAATCCATTTTGGCCGAAAATGATAAAAAATTGTAAGTCTAAACCTTAAAGTTTTTTGGCCAAAAATACGTTTTCTCTCTGAACTAAAATTTAATGTTACCTACCTATTTAAGTACATCCGAAGATAATACACAAGCACCAAGAAAATGACCTCAAAAACCCATAAGTGGCAGGTAATTAGCATTACCAAAAAGAAGTAATTAAAATATTCTAAAATCATTTGAAGACATTTTCTAAAAATACATTTTGAACAAGTTATAATCAAGATACATCAAAATTTTGGTTAGCTTGATCGTAAGCAACACATTCAGGGAGTACCTATACTGAAATTTTGAACAAAAATCCGTTTTTGTTGAAATGACAAAAATTAATAAGTCTAAAAGAAGCCTTAAAGTTTTTGGCCAAAAATACGTTTTTCTCTCCTGAACTAAAATTTAATGTGCTAACTATTTAAGCATCCAGAATAATAATACACAAGCACCAAGAAATGACCTCGAAAAACCCACAAGTGGCGAAAATCAGTGCTTGTTACAAAAAGTAATTAAAATATTCTAAAAATCATTTGAACATTTTCTAAAAGCCATTTGAACAAGTTATAATCAAGATATCAAATTTTTGGTTAACAGATCATAAGCAGCACATTCAGGAGTGCCTAATTCAGGGCTGTAGGTCGGAGCTCGGAGTCGGAGTCCCTCGAGGTCGGAAGGAAATTTCGGCTTTATTAAGGTCGGAGTCGGTAAAATTGTCCAGACGCCGACTCCGACTGAAGCTATTCTGTTCCTAAGAACAAATATATGAACTCAGGCATATTCATTGCAGTGATTCCACTGATCCCACTAATTTTCTTAAATTATTAAAAGAATTTATTTCCATTTTATAAGCATTATTATGAATTTATTGTAGCAGGCACAGTATAGCACTATAATTTTGGACGATAGTCTCTTCTTTACCATTTGAAATTTTGAATTATATCAAATTTTGTTTCATTGAAAACTGCACAGAGGCTCTCAGCTACAAAACAATTAGCTACAACCTGTTTTTGGTGAGATTAAGGCAAATTTAATTTAATAACTTAATCATGTAAGGTTTATCCATTTTCCTTAATAAGGTATTCATTTCTTTAATGTACATAAATATATAACTTTACTTTAAAAGGAATTGTAGGATCATCATTTAGATCCACATCAGATTATGAGCTTAAACAAAATTCATATGCTGAGATCGAACTTTTAGATATACATGTAAATGGTGTTTTCTAGTTAATATCTTGAATTCTTAATAAATTTATTTTTCTTTTGATTGAAGCTTTGAAAGTCAAGCCTATCATCTTTTTGTAGTTCTTAAATATCGTCCAGATCATTAATAAAGCTGTAGCAGTATAGCCACGGTGTTTTACTTTTTACCTACGCAGGTTACAACATACAAATTACAATTAGGATGGTAGAAATAGTTGTTACAAATAGGCCAAGGAGTCGGAGTCGGAGTCGGAGTCGGAAGCATAAAAATTTGAGGAGTCGGAGTCGGAGTCGAAGGTTTTGTCTTCGACTCCACAGCCCTGGAAATATTTTGTGCAGTTCTATAATAGAACTGCACAAAATATTTCCAGATTTTAAAACGATACTAACCCACTTTCATCCATGGATTTCAACCCCTGAAAAAACTTATACAGTTCTCGTTTGAGCCAAGAAGACCAAACATCACTCCACAAGTACCTCCACCTACCACCACCCTGTAAACCTTCCACAACTAAAAACTGCCCCAGGACACCAAGCTAAGCCATACGTTGAAAAGGACCTCGGCAGTTAAGGGGGAAAATATAAGCTAATGTTCAACACTTGCAAGACGCCCAACTGTAAAACTGCACGCGAGAAGTGAGCATACCGATACATATATATTTTTATAAGCAATAAGCATGTTTCTTATTGTTTGATGTTACAGGAAGGATAATACAGTACTGTATTATGTGTAGGGCATCATTCTTAATTTAAGTTTACATGAGCTTCCAGTACAGTTACTGTCTTGTACCCTGGCAAAGGAGCATTAAAGAAAATAAGATATCAAGGGCGAATCGGGGGCCGAACCCCCCCCCCCCTTCATCAGAAAATTTCAATACTTTCTTTAATTTAATGCAGTATTGTACTCAGGCGTTTTTCTATAGTAAAATGTAATTAATATTGACTTGAGAATGTCAATTAATATCAAGTGCACAGGACTTCAAAATGGCCTTAAAATGTCCATGATATTGATCAGATTAAAAATATAATCTGAGGGTGTTACGCCCCCAAAAGCTGGGTGGGCTCGTTGTGCTTGCCATGTTCCCCCACCCACAACTTCTTTGACTTCTCCCCTTTGATATTCCTGGATCCGTCCTTGGATATGCATGATAACTACTGCACTAAGATATACATAGATAACATGTATATCAGCTGCACTAAGACAAACATAATTAATGCCAACATAGATAATGTAGAGAAAAAATACTGGTGGAAAAAGCCGGGCTCAGTGACCGGATTACACGCGAGCATGTTAAAGTATGAACCAAGAGAGAAGGTCGCTGGGAACTTTAGTCTATCGATAGCTCGAGGAATATCAGCGGGAAGAAATACATGAAAATATGAGACAAGAAGAGCAGCAAGAGAAATGGTGGAGAGAGATGGAGAAGAGAGGAGAGAAAGAGAAAAGCAGGAAAATGAGAGGAGAACAGTTACATCAAGACAGAAGAGAGAGAGAGAGAGAAGAAAATAAATGGAAAGAAGATCTAGCAAAACAAAGAGAAAACCAGGACTAACATGAACAGGAAGGTAAATAGAAAGAGAGAAGAGGAGGAGGGAAATAAAGTTATGATAAAGATGGTGTTTAGATGAGAAGAGGTGATGATGAGGAATAGGTGATTGGGGAAGAGAAAGACGAGGTGTATGGGAGAGGATGAGGGAAGAGGGGGAGAAGATTAGAGAGACGAGGAGGAAACAGAAGGGGATATGAGAAAGAGGAAAAGAGAGAAAAAGAAATAAACAAGAGAAAACAAGAACTTGGCCACAAAGAAAGAGGACAAGGGCAGGTAGAAGAAGAAATAAACAGAGGGACAAGAGGAAAAGGATAAGACAAAGGGGGGAAGAGGAGGAAATAGAAGGAGCGATAACAAGGGAAATGTCAGTACTTCCCAAGTGCTGAGCTCACGGAGGTAGACAAAACCGCAGCACACACGCAACACGCAGCACACACACAGCACAACACACAGCACACACGCAACACGCAGCACACGCAACACACATCACACACACATCACACACGCAACACAGCATACACGCAACACACACGAAACACATTAATCAAATAAAATTCATTCAATACACAATCAGTAGAGGAACAAGGCGAATGTGTGTGGTGTTACGGGATGGAGACTCAAGTTACCCCTAGGCTTGCCACGTCCAATCCCACCCGGCCCATTATGCCCTGCCCTGCCCTGCCCTGCCCTGCCACCCTTAATCTAATAACATCTTCCTCCCCAATCATGTAAGTGAGGACGGACGCCTTCCACGTATTTCACAGACACATACACACACGTGCATATATATATATATATATATATATATATATATATATATATATATATATATATATATATATATATATATATATATATATATATATATATATATATATATGCTGATAACCACACGAAGTTCCCAAGCGCTGTGTAATTCACTCTTCAGGGTGAGTACAAACTAAGGAGAAATACATAACAAGGCATATATATATATATATATATATATATATATATATATATATATATATATATATATATATATATATATATATATATATATATATATATATATATATATATATATATATACAGTAGAGGAGGGTGAGATCAAGTCCCTATTATTTTACGCTATTGATAAGAGTATATATTTTATCACCCTCAACCTATCTCGATGCCAGTGTGGTGAGATAGTGAACATAACTATGACGTTTTAACGACCCTGGCCTAGGTTGTTGGTGGCGCAGTAGTGATCAATCAGGGCAAGATGGTAAAGGTTCAGCTAATGTGAGGAGGATATAGGCAAAATCACAAACAGAAAATACCACAAGTAACATCTCCATTGGCCTACTGTACAAAAGTTCTCCTTCTAAGTAATACTAATTTGAACAAAATCCCACTAAATCAAGTTTCTCTAAGTCCTCGCTTGGCTAGTTTAGGTTAGGATAGGCTAGGTGAGGTGAAGTCAGGGGAGATTCTGTACTACATTGCCCGCCATAAGATCATCATGGTCGCTTAATCACACAGCCAAGACACCTGTGCACTATTAACTAAAACTTCCAACACTTTACACAGATATTTCTTCACGAATTTCTCCCATAATTCGGTAAGAACACTATTTGTTTACCGGTTAACGAAACTTTTCTAATTACTTTAAAAAGACAATAAGTATGGTTTTCGAGAGAACAATTGTCCTCCATCATGTCTTAGTGTATATGAGAATGTCTTTCACTTAAAATTTTCACGTATTTCTTCTCACGATTGTCTTCCACGAGCCGGTAAGACAACGACTCATTATCTAAGTAAACCAAGTAATTGTTCTTTTCACACTTGTCCTCCGTAAGACAAGAGAGAAGACTTGGTTCTCATACAATTGGTTAGACAAAACTTCATCCAGGATTGCCTTATCAAGTATTGATCAAGTTCACTTATAACCACCAAATTTTACTTTCTTACGTGAGTTAATAAGACAGCGAGTCGTTCATTTCGAAAAACAAACAAACTGGTAATTGGAATTCTCATCACATTCGTATTTTCTTTATATAACAGCGAGTAATAACCTTGATATAGAGAGTTATACAGCGAGGGACAACGAGAGCGGATCACACCACACTGACTACAACTACAATTGGCCACCACAACCTTAAGTGACCACCTCACTTTATCTCCACCACAATCACTGTACGGCGTCTCAAGGACCACCTATCGCTGATAATACTTACTAACTCACCTGAAATCAACAAAGAAACTAGTCTGGTTACAAAGCAATCATTGGGCTTTTGTGAATGTGATTTTACCTTTACCTGGACTTTATGGGCGATGTAGTGTGATGACTGATTATAAGACTCGTGTTTCATGTAGTCGGGGAGGTAAAAGTATGCTCGTGCTAGTTACTACTGAAGTATAATGATATATTCTGAATATTAAACCACCTAGACTCTCCCTCATAAAAATCTAAATAAAATAGTGATGTTAATAGTCTTATCTTACGTCTAAACATAACAGGTAGAAACATTATTAATCTCTATTATTACAGTTACTGATGAGTTACGTTAATACAGGACTTCCTTCCTCCCCTTCAGCATCACACTGTGGGTCTGTGTATCGACTCAGACCAAACTCTCTCACATTAGCAGAGACGTTGACACCTGCGCCCCGCTTAACACACGCCGAGAGTTGGATCAGGAGAGATGAATAAGCAGATGAGAACACACAGGCTGGTCGAGGGAGGAAAGAAGGCGCTGTTACCAGGTTCATGATGCAGCACACAGAGGCCAGCAGATAACTCAGTGAGTCTGCAACTCCGGTATCTACTCTAATCTTTAATTTGGTTGATCGCATTATATTGTGTGTGGGGGGAGGAGATATACAGAGAGAAGAGGATGGGGAAGAGAGGCGAAGGAAGAAATGAAGGACGGAAGGAAAGACGGGAAAGGTGATGGAGAAACAGAAAAGGAAAATAAGGAGAAACAATAAAGACAAGCTTATGATTAAGTACAAACAAGAGCCACTGACTAAACAGACAGATGGGTAATCCCTCTTAAAATACTTAAAGATAAGACCTACGGTAGACGAGGTGATGACGGTACGGTACACTACACTCATCTTATCAGTAGGACAGTGTGAGTGAGGAGCGTCTCGTTCCTCGAGTTATTATAGTGAGTGTCACTCCTTACCTTCTACAGTATATCAAAGAACTCCTCGTGACGGTCATTGTTCATCACCATAAGGAATAAAGAACAGCTTACGAGACACTAAGCCTTCAGTATTATGCAACAGCGTCAGTTCTCATTCACCATTCAACATACGAAATCTCCATTAGACACACACAAGGCTAGACCTAACGCACCACTACTATCTAATGCAACTTTCAACACTGTCTTCACCTGAATGCACTCAAACAAATTGCTTTCCCATTATCAATCTCAACATTTTGACCTCCACACCACATATTCTATTAATAAATGTCAAAGGTTTTCTAGACATTTATGCTGACACTAATCTCCTGTTTGGCCTCTGTTATACATTCAGGTTAAAATGTTATACCAAAGACATGTTTAACTGATACCTCCTGTTATTGGCTTAAGGTACAGACAGACAGACAGGTACAACACCCACCTCTCCTTCACCAAGCCGAGCCGAGCCGAGCGACCGACGTAAAACACAGGTTGTGAATTGTTTGTGTGTAAACCTAAAGTTGTAAGGTAATTTTTTCCCCGCTGACGTGACCTGCGAAAATATTGGTTCAGCCGTCAAACCTTTCACCAGCAACACTCACTTGACGCCCACACAAACAAGTCGTACATTGAAGTGTACACCGCCCCCCTCCCCCCACACTAATTCCGTCTACAAAGGCTTCGTGAGGCTCAAGGGGGGGGGGGTGGGGAGGCGGGGGTGGGTAGTCTGACACGGGTCTAGATTGACTGTTTGTCCGAGCGATATCAGACAATTTTTTATATTGGAAGCTAAAATTTAAGACACAATAGTGACCAAAGTGTTTACGTAATTTTTTCGGGGGTTTTCTAACCTTATTTAAACAGTTTCGTGATTAAAATACTGTACTCGACTCTTCTCACATTCACAGTAAAAAAAAAACTAACAAAACCTCACAACCGGGTGTAGTTACCAGACACTTTGTTGGTCCCACAGTCAGGGAGTTTTAATTAACGAATTTTCTATCTCCAATAACGACTGAAATATTACGAGTATTAACATTCCACAGCTGGCCGATACATAGCCAATATAAGCGACACTTAAGTTACGTCTGGTGACACAAAAGTCATTATTACAACCCTGCATACCAGCTGCACCGCTCACCTGACAGGTAAGTGATCCCGTGATGAAGCAGACAGGTGTACACAGGTGAGCGGCCGAGCACACACTATCCCCTAGAGTCTAGGGCCTAGAGAATGACCTCACTGTCCTGTCCTCATTGTTAGAACACCTGTAATAGTGACAGACGCCATAATTATGTGAACCACAGTACCTACACTTGTTTGTTCCTACACCTGTACAGTTGATGATGTTGCTGTATGGTTGTACAGTATGTTTGTTATATTACCTGTATGATTTGTATTTGAGTATGTCTTGAGTGTGCAACATTGTGTAAATAAATACTGTATGTATGAATGTGTATGTATGTATGTATGTATGTATGTATGTATGTATGTATGTATGTATGTATGTATGCATAGAAGGGTGGTAGTAGCCAACACCTGCGGCTCCCCAAATGGCACTAGTCCCACGCAGGTGTTTCTTTCGCCACAGATCGTTCCCATTTTGTTTTTCCCACACATGAAGCTCAGGTTGGCCTGCCTCTATCAAAAGTTTCTACGTGAATGGGTCCCTTTTCCCCCCTATGCTTCGCTGGGAGACGATAAGCTTCTCTTGTTATCAGTACTTAAAAATAAATAAAAATAATTAATAACAGGTATTTTAATGAGACTTGGGGCAGGTAAGTGTTCCTAGAAACCAACACAACACTGAATAACTTCCTTCCCGAGAAACATTCAACACCACAAGTCACCACCAATACGCTCCTTGTACTTAAAATATAAACACCAATATGACGAAAACTTGGGCAGCTTAACACCACATTTTTTTCATGATTAATTTATCTGCTCAGAAATCATCGCCACACACACACATACACTGTCAAGTCTTATCAAGTAGTTCAAGTCCATTTATATCACTGTCGACAAACTTCCCCTTCAGCACTAACACCATTTTAACACCGTAAGACTATTTTAGGTTCAATCAGCGTAATTCGTATTACTCATAAGTTCTCCCCGATGACAACGTATCGATCCATTCCGCTATTGTCATCATCACTTTCTTTACAACAGTTTTTTTTTCTCATCTTTTCAACCAAGACTTTTAAAAATGACTTGAAATCCTCGTATTACCAATTAAGATGATCTAGGGATACTATTGTTCTACTGGCGGACACGAAAAACGCTCAGGTACACGAATACACACACAGACAGACAGCACGGGAGGTGAGGTGTGTGTGAGGGGTAGAGGAGAGCGACACTGATGAGTGAGTGTTGAGTCTGGAGGGAGGAGGTAATACTGGAGTCAGCTGACCACCTAACCTGCCTCAGCAAGACAGCTGCCTCACGTGGGTGTAACTTGATACAACCATCTCCCTCCCCCCAACACACACAGCATTACTTCATAAATTGTACATCAGTAATGGTGATCAGCTGAGTGTGTCACCTCGCATAAAATTTCAGGATAAACTGGGATCTACGTAATAAAACAAACTTAAAGAGCTCAGCTACGACACAATACAATGATCTGTTTACGCATTGCTATTCTGAAACCTCACTGTGCTTCTATCTCTACCTGATCTGTGTAGTGGTTTAAGAATAAATGAATTTGATTGATATTCTATGGTGTTTGAAGTAGTTGTCATACCGCCACAAGCGACACGACTCCAGCCATTTAGTTTTTAACAAACCATTCAAGATTGATAATCAGTTTCGCCAGTGTGACACAATGCTCGGTGCAGATTAAGACTACGCTGCTGAGACTAATTTGGTGTTAGTTGGATTTAAGTCTCGTGGTAATATCACTTTTAATTCCCCATGTTCACGAAACCCAGTACGGGGGAGGCGGTTACCAGGCACACGACACACTTGATACCGAAGCTGCTCTCAGGGAACCCAAGACGACAAGATCCTGACAGAACACATTTCTCTCCGTCATCTCCGGTCCTGTACTGAGGGATCATATACCTGGAAACTGATTACCAAGGTGAAACACAAGAGAGGAGGCGGCCAGGGTTCATCAGACACACTCACATGTCATCCAGCTTAACACATTATCCCTTTATCCGTACTGCCACTCAGGTGAGGCTTAGGTACAGTCTTATATCTTTACTTACGAACCCCTGAGAGCCTGCACCAATTAGGGTCTAACTCAGTAACATCAGCAGTATTACGTCATTCGCTATACACAAGTTAAGAACAAGTATGCGGTTAAACCAGGCTGGAGTTGGTCTATCCCGCCCAACCACCAGATGTCGCTAATAACCTTACCAATACACACAGACGAAGCTACAGCAAGACAAGAGAGCGAGTTTCTATATTATTAAACCACATAATATGGTTTAGGTTAGGTTATTGACACTATAGAGTAAATAGCCCGGTAGACCAACTCCAGCTCGGTAGACCGTATACTATCGTAGCACCCAAGTATCTTATGGTATATCCGCCTTATAAATACTTAGTGATAAAAGTATATAAAGATATAACCAATGTATAATTAATTAAAGTGATAAAGTATAAAAGGTGAAAAACCCACTAAGTAATTGAACTAAGAGAACAGAGTATTTCATAATTTATCAGTAATACATAATGATCACTAGAAGATTGCGTCTCCTCACACAGTCAAGGAAGCATAATATGAGGTTCCCAGTAAGAGCTAATTAACCGCGGGGAGGCAGTACTATGATAACAGCAGGACGACATAACACCCAATCAGTAGGGCGACACTGTGTAACGTGATGCAGTTCCCCGCCGCCGTGAAGCAGAGTTAAGAGAACATACTGGGGACACGTACAAGCAGGAAGTCAACCCTCAAATGACGAACTTGTGACTCTCGCAACTTGTCGAACATGCAGTGCTGCAG